CTGCGTTGCCTCTGTAACGTTCCCCTCGATGACACCTCAACGTCCGAACCATTCCATCTTTTTCGTGTCTCGAGATGACTAATTCAAAATTCCATATCATTGCGATGTCTTTTGCCCATTCAATAGCTTCCTCATGACTATCAAATAGCTCATCTGTAGCAAAACAAGATCGGTAATCTTCGCCGTCTCCTCCAAAATCTTCGAGTGGCACCTGCAATATGTTGCAATATGTTACGATGTATGTTAATAATTTTACAAAATAATGAATTATAACTTCTCTCAAAATACTAATAGTAATTTGTAATTTATTATATAATCAATTCTAACTTCTAACGTAATATAAATAAATTTTACGTTATAACATAATACATTCATATATATTAATATTTTATACTAATATAAATTTTTCCTATTACATAATTTTATACTATTAATTTAATACTAAATATTAATATTATTTTTTTATAAATACTTTGTATTAGTATATACTAAAAAAATAAATATATTAGTATATAAAAAAATTATTATTATATTACTAATAGAATTTTTAATGTATATTATTATATATTAATATAATTTTTTTATATTAGAATTATGCCCCTAGCCATAATTTTTTTATATACTTGTTGATACCAAATTTTGGCCTAGCCTATTAAAAAATTACACGTGGATATATATATTAAATAAATTATTTTATTTTTGGGCCTTAAATAATACCGCTTGTGATAATATCGGGCCCATTAAACATATATATAAATACCCCGATGATGGACATCATCGAGATAAGTCTGAGGGGACACTATTATTATTTTGGCTCTTTTCTGTTACAGAGGGACCGCCTCTATTTCCTTTCTTCTTCTGAATCTTATTATCTGGTTTCTTCAACAAAGGGAGGAAGGGAAAATATAGCGAAAATCAAATACAAAAAATACACAATAAATGCCTCTGAACCCCCTATGTTGATGAAATTTCGAGCATCAACAGAACTACCAAATTCCATACATTTATTTACATACATCTAATATTGAGATAAAAAATATGATTAAAGATTTAATGTATGAATTATATGTGTGTATTAAAATATTAGTAAGTAATTTATAGCAGTGTTTTGCAATCCAAACCGCCGGCATAACACGGACCGGTCTAAATCCATCCTAACTCGGGCATTGACCCAATTAGATCAACCAATTCGACCGGTTTCTACAGTTTGGGAAAAAATGGTGGAAAGATTTTTCCACACGCGCATTAAAGCTTCCCAGATTCCGGTTGAATCCAGCAAGNCGAATTTTTTTTGAATTTTTTTTTGAATTTTTTGATTGAGTTTTTGTGTTTTTTTTATGAAATTTTTTTGTTTTTTCGGTTTTTGTGTTACATTGATTTTTTTGAATGGCCACATTCAACATTTTTTAAGAATTATAATTTTTTTTAATGTTAAAAAAAATAAAGTAAAAATTGAATTTTTTATTATTATTTTTTAGTAGGGACAAACGAGTATTTGGGTGCAGTAAATACTAAAGTTATGTGCGGTAAATAGCAACACTTTTGTTAATATGGCAACTAAGGGCTTATTTAACCTACAGGGAGAGAAATGAATGATTCAAGTGTCAGAGCTGGGAAAGAAATACATCACGCATGCCCAGGAAAAAAATATATAAAAAATTAACACACTAGCAAAGTTAGAACGGGGCAAGAGTATTTATTTGCTGGGAGCCCATATATCATAGGGAAAAATAGTTAAGACTTGCAGCAGCCACTAAGGGATATTGACGCAGCAACAGGCGCAAGAAAGCGGACGTGAGACAGACAAATGCGAGGGAGAAGCTGGTTAATCGCGGAGACAGACCACACTTGTACACGAGAAGAATAATTTTATTTTTTTATTTTATTTAGTATTATTTGTTAGAGTAGATTTTATTTTAGTTATGCGGATGTTGAACCCTACATACTTGGTTATGTTTAATTAATTACGGTGATTGATTATTTTATTATTTTCATGAAATTGTTTGTGTTATTTTGATTAATCAACCATAATGAGATTGATTTTATTTAAATTGATCACCTAAATAAAATTTTTCATGTCTAATGCCAAAATTGGACTTGCAACCCATAATTGTTGTTAGAGTTTAATTCGTAAGTAGCAAACGAAAGATGATAATTACCGAGGATAACACAACCTAATTAAGTGAACTGCGCGGTTGTGTTAACTACTTAGACTAACTTATTTTTCTACACCTTAAAGTAGCTATTGCAATAAATTTAGAGAGCGTGTTCTAGACTGTCCAATAAGGCAGGTTTAATTGAAGAGCGTCTTCCGGTTAAATAAACATTAAGGAAAAATTTGGGTAGTAGAGCGTGTTTCTATCTAGGTGTAGTGCCCCGTTCGATTTATAAAGTTTGTCGGATTTATTCTATTTAACGGCATTTTATTTTATTGTTATGCATTATTTATTTTAAATGCTTGCTCTTTATCTATATTATGTTTAATTGGATGTTCTCGTCTAAATAATAATATAAGTCGTATATTCTATTTTATTTGTTTGTCGTTTATCGTTTAGTGTCGATAATCCTTCTGATGGGTCTACTTTCAAATCTGAAGTGAACTGGTGGTTGTGAGCTTCGATCTGTTCGAACCGCCTCCAAATCAGCTTTAGATAGCTACAAACACTTGCAAGAACTCAACCGCGGAAGTGTTTCCGACGTAGAGCCTCCGACGCTCAAGTCAGTATGTGAAGGAGATAAGAGAGAGACCAGCAGTTGGAGGAATGAGAAGTGTATAGAATGAGTAGAAGTTAGGGTTTAGGGTTACCTCAGCCCCTTTATATAGAAAGAAATGACTACTTGAAATACCCAAAATACCCTGGTCGGTTTGTATTCCAATCACCTCTTAGTCAGCTCAAGATTCCTCCTTATCCGCTAAAGATTCATCCACATCTAGGAGACTTCTGAAGAGACACTGCAAGTTTTCTGAGTCGTCAATACCTTTCGGGCCTCGAGGCTTAAGGAGTCAACCTCGAATATCAAGAGGTCGACTTAGGATTCACAAGTATATTCGAAGGCTATGCTTGCTCGTCTTCTTAGTAGAAGTCGGCTTTGGAAGTTAATTGCGAGAAGTCGACATTGAGGGCATCGACTTGAGTGAAATCGGCTTCTTCCTCTGGTTAGTGCATGAAGAGAAGTCGACTCGGGGTGCCGACTTAGGGATGTCGACTTCAGAGTTATCCCGTTGACCTGCAGACGATTTGATACACCCTCCCGGTCGAGTAATAAGCACTTGGACTGGTATATCTCAATATGGCTATAGCACATTCGGTAATATTCGCATTGCTATTATTCGAACCATTTTCCGAGCAAGCTGAAGTTTGATACTTGGCCCATTTTTGAATATATTTTTTTCGGACCTTTGAGGTATTATATTCGGCCCCAAAGTGATTTATTTTTCCAGCTCAATTGGACTATTTTTCTGGCTCATTTCAGTTGAGTAATTCCTTCCGGCCCAATTTGAGTTAACTATTCTCTGGCCCATTTGTAAATTAATAATTGGCCCAGCATCCTTATACAACTCTTGGCCCATAACCTTATATTCACGTGTAAAATTTTGAACTAAGGATAAGATTTCCTTTTCGCTGAAACC